TTCATTTTTGCTCACTAACTAAGGATAACAGACTTACGCACGATTTTTACAATTTTTTATGAAAAATATAAACGAGATATGATAACAAAATTTTGTGTGCACATTTTTACAACTGTAATAGATACACAGAAAAAAAATCGTAGACTTTTATCAAAAATTTAATGTTTTATGAATTTTTTTCTCAAACATTGCACCACCAAGTAGTTTCCAATTTGATTTATTAATAATTTTGCGCATAGAAACAATAAATTCCTTTATGATTTTCTCTCATGAATATTTCTAAGTCTCACTAATTAAAAATTCGCAATAATCTTTCCATTTGTTTCAAACTTTTTGCAAAAACAACTCTTGCAATTATAAATGCACAAAGTGCATTTTCTTCAGGGATTATTTAGATGCAACACAAAGCAAAGGAATAATAAATAAGATGCAATATTTGCTGAAGAAAGTTAATTAATACTTGAATAATTTATTGCAAAGAGGATTTTATATATTATTTTCTGGGAAAACGTGATTAAAATTTGAGAGGATAAATTACATTTCTATTTTTAGATTGTGATTTATTCTATTTTAAAATTTTATTTAACACCTGCGTGATATTTTTGGCAAATTTATATTCATACCTTATTTTTGCAGTCAAAATTTTTGCATATTTGAGGCTAAAAATGCATTTAAATAACCCTACAACTTTGCATGAAAAATGTATGGAACTTTTTAAAGTGTGAATTATTGTGCAATTTTTTGGATTTTAAGTTTGTTTTTTGAAATACGTTTTTAAATATTTTTGTAGTTAATTATAATAACTGTAGCGAAATTTATATGAAAAAAAAATCTTTATAATTATGTATATTTTTTTGGTACAAATTTGCGAAGTATGGTGTTCAAAATAAAGTTCCAAATATACTTTTTTAGATGAGATTTTAGTAGAGGAGCATTTTTTTGTAAAAAATTAATTGTAAATTTATCAATGCGTATATGTTTATAAAAATTTGCACAATATATTATAAGAGTTATAGCAATAATTGTGCAGAATTTTGTTTTCATATCTAGCTATAGCTTAAAATTTTTACAAAAAAATTACGAAATTTGTATATGTGGATTTGGTGGTGCATAATTACAGGTGCCCTTTTTGATTAAAAATTTATTTATGCATTTGTTAATGCATATATGATGATAATGATATTTTATACAATTAATGACAATAGTTGTAGCAATATTTGTGCAAAATTTTGTTTTCGTATCTTGCTCAGATTTTTCACAAAAAATTTACAAAATTTGTTAAAGTGGATTTAGTGGTACAAAATTACAGGTGCACTTTTAAAGAAAAAATTAATTTAAAATTCAGCAATTGCATAAAGTAGGTAATTTTTTTTATAAATATGCGAAAAAGTTGTGACAATTCTTGTGCTAAATTTCGTTTTCCTAACTAGTCTAGATTTTATACAAATAATTATTAAACCCGTGCATGTAAATTTGGTTCTTTGATATGGAATTAATTACGATTTTTCAAGGAAAAAATTAATAAGAACTTAGCAGCAGATACAAAAAAGATCCAGTAAATAAATCATACTTCATTTGAAATATTTTTGTAAAATTAAAAGAGTTTCTATTTGAAATTACACGAAGAACTATTTTTTCAAGCCTTTGATATTCTTTTTGCAAGAGAAAGCACTTTATGAAGGTACATCAATTGTAAAAGTTTTTAATTAAAACTAGAAAGTATTAATAATATTAGCTGGAGGGCATTTTATGAAGCACAAGTCATGTATATATATATATATATATATATATATATATATATATATACATAAAATTTTATCTTCTAGAAAAATGCCTTTTTCCAATAAATTGACGTCCAGACAAAAGCCATATGGTATTATATTAGCCATTAGTCTAAATGGATAAATATATATATATATATATATATATATATTTATATTTATCCCATCATCGTTTGATAAAGTGTCTCCATAATTATTAGGACATCAAGCAAATTGATATATTATGCTCGAACATTTATGGACTTATATATTTCATATTTTTTTCACAAAAAGCCTAGGCTAGTTATGACAATAAAATTTGGCACAAATGTTACTACAACTATCTAGAATGCATATAAAAAGTTTCAATGACTATCTGAAATTGCCTGAATTTAGATAAATTTTTTTCTCAGAAAGTGCACTTTTAATTTCATACCAATGAACAGAATTTATATGCATTAGTTTTAAAAATTGTTGTAAAAAAATTTAGACTGGCTACAAGTGTAAAATTAAATATAAATATTGGTGCAGATAGTTTAAAATAATTTATAAATAATTTTAACAATATTTTGTATATTTCATACTTATTATTAATTTTTTTCTCTATAAGCGTACTGTGAATTTTATATAAGAGTACAAAATTTACATACACATATTCTAATATTTTTTTTGTAAGAAGTTCAAGCTAGCTATGATATCGAAATTTAACGAAGACGTTGCTTACAACTATAGTAATTAATTACAAAAAAATTCATCAAATTTTGGCTATAGACTATTTTTAAATTAATTTTTTCCTCTACATGTGCGCTATGAATTTCTTGCACCAAAAATACATTTAATATTTTATTTTAGTTACTTTTTCTTGTTTTTTTGCACTAAATTGCAAGTTTTATCCATTTCCAGACAAAGTGCAGAAAAGATCAATTGCATTTCTGTAAAATGTATTGCAATTTTCTTGTCCCGTGTATTTTTAACCAAGAAAAATAAAAGAAATCTTTCAGAAAAACGTAATTACAGTTTAAATTAAACTCTGAACATAAAATTTTCTAAACTAAAAAATCCTTAAAGTTTCAGAAATTTTTGTCCATCACAATTTTATTTTATCAAATATTGTGTCAGAAAACGTTGTCTTATTCATCATTCAAGTTTTGAATTTTATTTTGAAATAAAAATGAAGACGTTGTCATATCAAAGTAAGAAAATAATATGTTTATTCGAATTCAATTTTCGAATAGTTGAAAGCAAATGCATGTAGTTTCACAAAAAGAAGCTTTTGGAAAATGAAATTTATTTCAAAAGAATTATTTGCACGTGCAGATACTAACATAGTATTCAATAAAACTATAAAACATACATTTTGCCCAAGAATTTAATTGTAATAAAAATGTACACTAGTACGAGCTTTTGTTTAGAAGGCATATATTTTGTATTACATTATAGCCGTTGATTACATTTTTTAAAATTTACGTTCATATTGCTAAAATTTGTTATACTATATTTGTTATATATATATATATATATATTATATTATATATCGTTAAAAAGCTCATAAAATTATCTATTAATCTGTATATAACAATTCACTACGTTTAGAAAAAAATTATTTACAAAATATTTCTAAACTTTCAAGTGTCATTTTATATTAGTTTTATCGTTTGCACTTTTTTATATCAACGCCTTTTTTATTATAAACAATTAGAATATAATAATGATATCATATATTTTTGGAAAGCTAAGGAAATTTGTATATTACGTTCAATATCTTTTCAAACAAAATTAAATAAAAAAAATATGCAAACTCGTCTTTATATGTTAAATATTTTATTTTATATGAAATAATCTAATATTTAAATATTTATTTATTTATTTATTTAATATTGATGATTTTACAACTATAATACTAAAAAAAATGGTTGAATTTTCTAAAAATTGCTGTTTTAGTATATAAATAACTAAATTTTTATTCTAGAATTAAATTAAAAATTATATAAAGTAAATTTTGTACCCGGAGCTTTTA